GTTAGCGAATTTCAGCCATTTGCTGTTCAGGTTCTAACCGGCATCGATTATTTGATTTACAGACAGTGCTTAAATAGCCCTTATCCCGTTTTGTAATTTTGTTAACTCCAGATTACGGTTGCTTGATCAACCTATGATCACTAACCGTAACAGAAATTTTCTGAACTGTAACGTTCAACATCATCAATAATCTATCCTCGTGTTGTGTCAGGCGGAATATTAACGTTTTCTCTATAAGCATCTGTGAACCGAGTGGTTTAATACAGTTTTCAATAACCATATTCTAAGCTATATTTTCAATTATTTTATGCTTATGCCACTGAACATTCTATTGTTTTAGTCCTGCCGCCATTTGCGTTCTAACGACCATATTTCCGATGCTGATAATTGCAATACTGTACGATCTCCGCTGTTATTGTGAAGCTTTGCGAAATATCGTCCGGAGGCTGAAGGAAAAGCGAAACCTTATTGTTCTCTGACCCTTTTCAAATTTATTTCGTACTGTTTTACGCTTATTTTTAGTCAATCTTTGAAATACAAAGATTTCTTTTTCTGTTGTTTTTCTTACATAGTAAAATAAATGAAGCTTTGTAGTTGTTTAATTCTGTTTAATTAAGTTTAACGAATAAAGTGCGAAAAAGCAGAAAAATGAAAATTTCGAATTGTTTTAGAGTTTGCTGCGGATCTGCAATTATCAGTGCAGAAAAGTACACAAAATACTTCACCTGCCGATTAAATTCCCCATATATCCGTGTTTAAACAGTGTATATGCAGCAATTTTCAATCATTTAAACAGATGCAGTATGATACTACGTACTTTACGATACTGAGTACGGTTCTATCTGATATACGGTAATGCATTATATGGTTTACTGTATTACATGGTCGAAAAATGGTAATTTATCTTGTAATATTCGTGAAAAGTACAGAAAACTTTAACACAGAGGCAAAGTCGACAATAAAGAAAAATTTAATAGCGACATTTATATCATTAGCAGTGAACTTCGAAAGACATTTGAATGATGTTTCTTCTATACTGAATATGCTACCAATCTCTTCAGTCTCGAAAGGAGCAAGCAATGTTAAGGTAGTTGAGCAACCATGAAGACACGATTTTCTACGCAGATACTTCTATTTCATCGCTGCAAAATTGAACGAAGAACTTAAATTATTTATTTGAATTGAAAAACAAAAGCCTCGAAACAATTCTTGAGGCGCTATGGTGGCCAACAGGGTAAGGTACAAGAGGTAACGGCAATGTTAAACATACATGCAACACTGTGAACAATACCAGATTTAAGCGTTGAATGGTCAATTCATTTTACAGGGCAATAATAAAACTCAAGAAAAGTTACGCCCAACGGAGCTTAAGGTCAAATATGAAACGAAACAATTATAACTCTTTGTCACATTCTATTCTTTCCTAAACATATTAACATGATAAAACGAGTTGAGAATGAAAAATGTACATTCAACAGAAGTTGTGCAGCTCGCTGGGAAGCTTCGTGAATCAGAAAAAAACCAGAATGATGGACATGATATATATCATGCAGAGTATGTCAAAGAATGGCGCACAGTGGCAAAACGATCGGTTTGGAAATTTGGAGTATTGGAAACCGAAATGAAACGTAAATATATCACAGTATAAAAAGTGTGACTTACCAAATGTATTACCGAACTTTCATTCATGGAAGTCAAAGATACTTCACTCTTTACTCCATTTAGAAGGAAGGCATACGCATATTCTATTATTGAGATTAGAAGCACGTTAGTGCAGTTGCTGAAGACTCGACTATGCTTCTCACAATGCAACACTATCATACTTGCTTGTCGTCTGCGCCTGAAGATAGATCAAGCATTATTTGAAACTTTTAGAAATACTTATATAATAAACTTTGTCACGCAGTATCATCTCCTACAAAATGTTTGCAACTTTAAAACGAAATCTTGTTTTTTGATGGAACTGTGATCCCGTCACCATACATCTCAGATATTTCATAAGTCAATTGGTTTATTAATTTCAAAGCACTGGGGGAGTGGAAAAGATCCCTGATATTGGACTCACCACAATATCTTCTGCGTAGTGTATAACAGAGCCCTGGAGAGCGAAATTGTTTAGTATTACTACTGTCTCATGAACACTATTTCTATTCTCCGATAATAAAAATCATAAACAAAAATAAGCAGAAATTTATGATTATCATGATGGGGTTGATCGGTTATTCTTGTACATCTGGCCAATATGCCACGTTTTATCTAATAAATAAAAAGGAAGAAACAAATTCGAACTTAATTCTATCTCATATGGCTTTGAACTCCCCGTAAATAAAATATAAGGCAGGCTTTGCAGAAATGAAAGATCTGCAAAGTTTGAAACAGCACATCAGTCAAGTCGAAGGTCAAAAATGAGTCTAATCTGCTGTTCGAATATCGCCGACTTCTCATTGTCATGAAAACAATAACCTCCTCTCAGCAGTTAAAACACAGGTGAAATACTGCTGGAATATTCAGTACGAAGATTAAAGGATATACTTGAAAAATGAACATGGTTCTCTAATATTACATGATAATATTAATACTTCTTACCGGACTGATCTCCACGTACCGATTTTATGGATGTTTCGAGTCACACTTGCTGGTTAAAGTAAAACTAAAACTTTTGTCACTCACCTTGATAACGGGCGAATTATGGAAGAAACTGTTGCCAATCATTGTTCATAGCGCATAAATCAAACAATTGGAGGTACACACAGAATATTTTCTACAAAAGAAAACCGATCACAACCGCAAATAATGTTAAGAAATAGTAAAAAACTAAACTCGCCCGTCGATATCATGCAA